TGTGTGTGTGTGTGTGTGTGTGTGTGTGTGTGTGTGTGTGTGTGTGTGTGTGTGTGTGTGTGTGTGTGTGTGTGTGTGTGTGTATTATATATTATATATATATATATATATATACTCGTGATTAGAATATAAACCTGTTCACATGCAAGCACCTACCGTGATGTGTGCGTGGTGGCGACAAGCACCTCTCCGTGTTCGTAGAAGCCGATAGCCACGGCCGTAAGCCTTGGGCTGGTAACGGGGGCGAGTCTGTAAGTGCTCACAGATATGGCCCGGGACCTACTTTCCCGGTAGAAAACTGCACGCCAAAATAAACAAACGAGAAAGTACGCATATGTCAGTATATCTGTGTACGACGTACACTACAGGGACACTCAGCGGTTGTATAACCTTATAGGTAGTCGTCCTGAATGCGTATTATTTTTTGCACACTGGGAGCGGCGCACTCGGTGGGACGGTGCACATTACAATACAAAAACGTTTACGACGAGGATGTGTATGTTAGCGTGTCCCTGGGTCAGACTGATACGACACTACACTACAACGAGAACTGACAACTAAGTCACACCAGGAAAAGGTAAGTCACACACGTTGTATGCGTTCTGGTGGACAGATACGAATAATAGCACAAGGTCCACAGATGTTCCTTTGTGCACTCTAGACGTAAAACAATAAAGTGCATCGAATATCAAGACTCATTCGGAATGTAGGTAGCCTCGAGATAGCCTATCGTATCACCAAAATGAAGCCACACTGAAATATATGGAGCATCCCTCTGGTGACAAATGCTTATATTGCATGAAGAATATATGTAGATGTGTGTCAAAATGTATGGAAGAGATGGTTGATATGAGTTATATCTGGCATGCATAAATTCATGTCTCCGTAGAGATACATACATGTTGTTTGGTATACCTCGATTTCATCACCAGAAAGGGCTTAAGAAAGTATACACCACTCAACTCAAAGAGCACGATCGTCCCAATCAGGTCATCCAAGGACGTCAACGACACCAGAAACATCCCACACAGTAGTAAACCTACATTACATTTGCCATATATATATATATATATATATATATATATATATATATATATATAGTATATATATATATATATACATAATACATATGTATATATATATATATATACATATATATATAGCACCAACTTACAATATACCTACTATTGTGAGATAGGAAATTCACGCTAATTACACGAACAATTTTTTTAATAGTAGGAATTTTATAAGTTGGTGAAAGACTAAAGTAGAATTCTGTGCCCTGATGTATATAATGATTAAGTGTCAGTGTGATATTTGGTCCACAGAATTTGATGATTTCACGTGAAATTATTTTCTACTCCAAAGTTCGGGACTACGGTTCCTAGGGCCCCTAGGCCCATCGCAATATATATATATATACGTATATGTGTGTGTGTGTAAGTGTCCTTCGTATATATACATGGTGAATAGCTGAGGTTCATACTGCAGTATAACTCATACCTCTCATGTCACCTGAAGATGTCACAACTGAAAACGCCAGCTTGCCGAGTGGTACCTGTGGGCCATTGGGAGCTGACGATGGATAACTGTCCGTTCAAATGAAACAGTAGAAAAACTTCAGTTTTTTGTGCAAGTGTGTAGCGGAAAAAAGCAATGTATGTGTCCACATGCCAAACAGTAGCCACCGTATAGTGGTGACGTATAACGAACTACTCCACGAAGAAGAATCCGAGTTGCCTGTGGAGAGTGCATGTAGCTCACTGCGCGGCACTGGTCAGTTACGTTCTAGTACTTGAACTGGTGAATCGTTTTCGGTGTCTTGCCGCAGTCTTGGTATAAAGCCGAATAGATGAGATGGTCCCGATGACTTGAACATCCGAATTTGTGAATACGTATTGAGCTTGTTGGGATGGTATCCGACTCGCACATACGCATTTGTGCACAACGGCAACATGTGCACAACTAAGCATTAGATAGGACGAGATAATCACAAAGTGTATGCGTTTGATCCAGGGCAACTCTCAAGATAGTGATTCCTCGAGTGAATACACACTCAAGCACAGATCCATGCAGATATAGAAAAAATATTTATACGAACTTTCTTCTCATGTACACACGCAGAAACGGCCTATCCACATACACATACGCCTAAATATACACATGCACGCATATAGAAACACACCTGGTTGAGAAGGCCGGGATACCCGCCAGCGTGTTTGCGTTGGACGGTGTCCCCTTGAGTGCCTTGCCGCTGCTGTCAGCCCCAGTAGAGCGAACTACTGAGCGCACCCCACTGGTCCACCACTGCAGGCCCAGTACTTCCTGGTTGTCCTTCTTGTCACTGACATGTGTGTGTGTGTGTGAGTGTGTGTGTGTGTGTGTGTGTGTGTGTGGTGTGTGTGTGTGTGTGTGTGTATCTTATAATCTGCTCAATGATAATAAGTTGAACGTATATGCTGCTGTTGTCTGTACACTGCTGTCGGTGGTGTTCTACGAAGGGATGCGTGATATTTGAACAACATGTAGGCTGCACTGCTGTTTGGCACTAAGCCGTGTCTCTACTTGACACATGTACGCGTCACGTCCACTTAGAGAAAGGCAGAGGTGAAATGCGGATCATGCATCGTGGATTGTCGACCACACAAGCGGAATCGTCCTCAGTGAGTTGACAATAACAACAGCAGTAGCATATAGTGTGGGATAGGTACGTACGGGTAGAGAGACTAACTAGGCCTCCGTTAATCGTACGAGCGCACTAAATCTATTTAGCTTAATTAAAAGTACGTGATGCACAGTATAGGACGTTTATTTAACCCAACATCTAGTGTACCAGTTGGTCAGCACTTACAATACAAACAAACTTCAGCCGCTACCACTGAAACTACTCCTTACCAGCATACACATAGACCCGCCTACCACAATGGACCACAGAAACAACTGCGCGAGACTATTGAAGCCATAGATGTTCGGTACCTCTGATACAGATGGTTCTAGATGCCCTTTCCACAGCTATTGAATGCACTAATACAATGGAACACTAAACCTTTGCCCAACCCATTGAAGCCATAAATGTTCGGTACCTCTGGTACATATGGCCCCTGACGGTGGCGATGGGATCGCACAATAACCTCACACTGGTATACTGAGGAAGTCTATCAGACAACATTTCGAGAACAACACAGCCTGATATAGATATAAGACTGGCAGGGCCAGACCAATAAACTGGAACACGAATATGTACCTTTGATACAGACAATCCCAGTCGTTGGCATTAAAGTCGCGCATACCCCACAGACACACTTGTCCGTAGGTATCAACTGACACTAGATAGTACCCCGTAGAATCCCAAGCCAGCCATCTGTGTATGTGTGTGGGTGTGTATGCGAGTAGATGGTCGCGTGAGTAGATGTAAACTTGTATGTGTGCACATATGTGTTGATGTCTGTGTGCGTGTGTGTGTGTAGATCTGCGTGCATATGTACATATGTGTATGAACCAGCCACCTATGTATGTGAGTGGATGGTCGCGTCAGTATATGTATCCGTGTATGTGTGTACTTGTGTGTTGATTTCTGTGTACATTTTTGTGTGAATTGATATGTGCGCATATGTATATAGCACAGTATTGGGCACAGTCACAGTCATGTACAATACACCTAACAAGCGATGTGTGTGTTGTTGAGGTAACTGTCGACGCCTTATACATGCGTCTCTCTTGCTGACATAGAGGTGCAGAATGCTGGTTGTGTGAGGTATGGTGTGGATACCATCCAGTGCACATACACACCACATTAAAAAGCGAGAGACGTATGCATAACGTACTCCCACTCAACACGCACATGCCACACACTCGCCCCACATATACAGGTGCATCTAAACCCACACACAGCAAAAAAAACGCAGCGCTGTACTAAGCAATCCATGGGCGATCTATGAGAGGCTCCCATCCGACAATACCTGCGCTTACGCCTACACAACAGAATCACATACACACTTTTCACGCAAAAGCCGCATACAGATATATTAATGTATTTAAATAGCATGCTTGAATCAAAGACATAAACGAAGACCTACAAGAGCAATGTGCGTGGAATCATATACACACTTTGCACGCAAAAGCCACATACAGATGTATTTATGTATTTAAATAGCATACTTGCATCAAAGACATAAACGAAGACCTCCAAGAGCAATGTGCGTAGATAGAGATGACCGCGTTATCTTGTGCAAACGCCTCTCCTGCTGACATGCACATACAGTGTGCTGGATATGTGAGGTTGTGCATTGTGCGCGGGCAGATACGCCTACGCATATCTACCAAGACACGTATGAACGACATACAACATCTCACTACAGTACTGGAGAATACACAGATGCATATATAACACACCTTATGGGTGACCGGTGTGGGGTGGTGATGACCGTGATGCCTTGTGCAAGCGTCTCTCCCGCTGACATGTAGATACAGTATGCTGGCTGTGCAGAGTACGGTGTGGATACCCCAGATGTCCTGGGCCGCTTGCAATTGGCTTGTGCTGTGACATAGGGGTATACACATATACATATACATATAGAATTGAGTATATATCTAAGAAGGTATGCGATTAAGTGCGTACAATCAAGTTTATTTGTTCAGATGAGTGTCAAGATGGTTTTGAATATCTTCATCAATATAATTAGATATATATATATATATATAAATATGTGTGTGTGTGTGTGTGTGTGTGTGTGTGTGTGTGTGTGTGTGTGTGTGTGT